TTTACAAGAGTAAAGTATAAAAGGTGGATTTTGACTTTTTGATTATAGTATCTGGAATAAGGATCTAAGACAATAATATCAGCCATCATGCTTTGCATTTAATAATACTTTATTGTTTATAGAACACTTTAACATGCTCTTTCTCAACTGCCCTCTGAGGTGGATGTATACAAATATTGTTAATGTGTATTTTAGATAATGAAACTGAACTTGTGGTTTGTAAATGGCAAATCTGGAATAAGAACCCATTTTATGAATTACTGCTCTTTGACCAAGAAAAGGTTATATTGATATATTATGATTAAGGCAGGGAAGCCAGGTCTGTATAAAATTAATTTCTTAAGGGAAAAAAATCGGCTTTTTTTTTTTAAAGTTCCCTTGAGCGTAAATTTGCATTCCTCTTCCCATATGTGTCACTATTTTAGAAAAGGGATTATTTCAACTTTCCTTTCAGATAGTGATTCCTTTTCTTATGTAAAAACTCTTTCCTTTACTTACTTGAGTTTGGATTTTTGACTTTTCTGCATTTCTTTCTTTGGGTAGTCATTGTATAAAGGAAAAAAGAATCAAGACTCTTAGGTCCAACAAAATAATTCTTTTTTTTGGGTACTGGAAATCGAACCCAGGGATGTTCTACTACTGAGCTACGTCCCTAATCCTTTTTATAATTTTTTAAAAAAAATTTTGAGACAAAGTCTTGCTAAGTTGCCCTAGCTGGCCTTCAATTTAAAATTGTCCTGCCTTAGCTTCTAGATTCCTTGGGACTATAGGCGTGTACCACTACACTCGACAGTAACAGAATAATTCTTATGAGACTCTTAAAATTATTTTTCCTTGTAAAAATGTTAATAAATTCTTACTGTATGTTGTTTTAGGATCTTTCTGTTTGCCATATTGACCAATGTTATTTTTCTCATTGACTCATCTCTGTAAATTTTTTCATGATCTTGGTACCTATAGGACAAAATGGCAAAGGTTTGCTAGATTAGTAAAACCAGTATTATGTAACATTGTAAAACTAATGTTTATTTCTGCTTAGGATCCCAGTGAGATTGCTTACTATTAAGGTACATTTTATCCATTTAATTTTTTAAAAAATATTTTATAGTTTTCCGCGGACACAACATCTTTGTATGTGGTGCTGAGGATGGAACCCTGGCCGCATGCATGCCAGGCGTGCGGGCTACCGCTTGAGCCACATGCCCAGCCCCTCCATTTAAATTTTCAATAGCAAAATTTTAATAGTGGTAAAGAGAATGGAGTTTGAATGTAATGCTAATTTTGAGTCTGGACTCAGTACTTGATTTAACTTTCCTAAGCTTCAGGATCTTTGACTGTAAAATGGACTCAATAACATCCTCTACCTCTGCAGGTGGTTGTGAGGGGGCAATAAATACTCTCAAGAAAATTATTTTTATTGAGTACCTACTATATATTAGATGCTTGAATTAAAAATATCTGTTCTTTGAAATTCCCAGTTTGATGGAGAAGGGGAAGACAAATAAGAAAATACAATAAAAGTCCTTTTTACATGAATATTCAAATGTTTTCATATGCAAAGATTACATAAGAACATTTTTTAAGTATTTTTTTTAGTTGTAGTTGGACACAATATCTTTATTTTATTTATTTATTTTTATGTGTTGCTGAGGATCGAACCTAGCGCCTTGCACATGCTAAGCGAGCGCTTTACCATTGAGCCACAACCCCAGCCCATAAGAACATTTTTTTTTTAAAATTTTAATATTTATTTTTTAGTTTTCGGCGGACACAACAGCTTTGTTTGTATGTGGTGCTGAGGATTGAACCTGGGCCGCATGCATGCCAGGTGAGCGCGCTACTGCTTGAGCCACATCCCCAGCCCCCATAAGAACATTTTTATTAAGTGTACTGTTCTTTTGGCCATGCTTGAGTTTTTGTTTCTGTCCCTCCACCCCTTTAGTGTTGGGCATCAAACCCAGGATCTTGCAGCATATTGGGCTAGTGCTTTCCCACTGAACTATGCATGTTTTCTAAATCTCCTAATTTTTTAATATAATTAGATTGAAAACTAATCTTTAGAGTGCATTTATCCTTCCCTTTTTTTTTTTTAAATCATTCTTGAGGTAGCTACCTAAATATTCTATTAAAAATCCACAACCCATCTTATTTTTTATTTTTTGTGGTACTGGGGATTAAACCTAGGGCCTTGCATATACCAAGGAAATATTCTACCTCTAAGCTACATCTCCAGTCAATCACTTTTATTTTATTTTAATATTGATATTTAATATTACATAGTTCCTTAAGTGAAGAATAAATGACTAGATCTGTACAGTTGCTTTTTTAAGTTGTGTCTCCTTTAGTG